TGGTGGGATTACAGGCACCCAACACCATGCTCAGTTACTTTTTTTGTATCACCTGAGTCCTCCCCATTATCTACCTGCAGTAACTCAGGTGGCATAGCTCCTGCATACTTACCGTGGACCAAGTAGGGGCAAAATATTCTAGCTAAAGATACCACAAGCTTTCACTTGGTGGCTCTGATTAATAGGTTAGGAACTGCATGTTAGAAGAGGTCAGAAGCATTGAGTAATTTTGAAGGACAGTGTAGGAGAAATATGGAGACTCAGAAAAGTTTTGACTCCAGGCTGGGAGCAGTGGCTCACACCTGTGATCTCAGCACTTTGGGAGGCTGAGGCAGGTGGACCTCCTGAGGTCAGGATTTTGAGACCAGCCTGGCCAACATTGTGAAATCCCATCTCTACTAAAAATACAAAAATTAGCTAGGCGTGGTGATGGGTGCCTGTAGTACTCTGGAGGCTGAGCCAGGAGAATCACTTGAACTCAAAAGGCGGGGGCTGCAGTGAGCTGAGATCATGCCACTGCACTCCAGCATGGGTGACCGAGCAAGAATTTGTCTCAAAAATAAACAAACAAACAAAAAACCAGAAAAGTTTTGATTCTAAACATCTATCGCTTGGTCAGGAAATTCCAGAATAGCTACTCCAGTTCCAATGGAAACCGCACTTAGATTGATTTGATGTGATATTTCACAACTGAATTAAGTATTTTTCGCCAGGGCATGTGTTCGATGTTCTGTAAGATCCTATCTTTGTTGTGAAACTTGCCAAATATGTTATAAATACTATTTAGCACCATCTCTTCATGCAATCACCATCAATAAAAGACTTCCTGTCAGCATATGACCTTATTTAATTGGGTTCCATGCTCTCTCTTCCAGCCAAGTGAGTGTATTACCATCTCCCTCATGGGGGGAATGGGCTACCACCTGCAGCTTTCCTGCTGGCATACTCTGAAGCTGGCTTCTGCCCCAGCAGGAGAAGCATAAGAGGCTTCTTACACAGGTTTTCCTGTCCGGTGTCTGGGGTTGGCCATCCAGTGCACAGGTCTCCTTACTGCTCCCCTCTAGGCTAGATTGACAGCCTTGACCTTGTTCTTACTTTCAGCTCCTCTTCTGAATGTGAATACTATGTCTCGGTCTCAGCTTTGGCTTAGCTTTTCTGTTTTGGGCTTCCTTCCCTGTATCCACAGCTGTAATCCATTGTGTTCCTTTCTATCATATCTAATAGTACTAAAGACCATGGAATTTATTATTACTATTATTATTTGAGACAAAGTCTCACTCTGTCAGCCAGGGTGGAGTGCAGTGGCACCATCTTCACTTCCTGCAACCTCCGTCTCAAACAATCCTCCCACCTCAGCCTCCCAAATAGCTGGAGCTACTGGTGCACGCCACCAGGCCCAGCTAATTTTCATATTTTTTGCAGAGATGAGGTTTCACCATTTTGCCCAGGCTGGTTTTAAACTCTGGGTTCAAGCAATCCACCTGCTTCGTCCTTCCACATGCTGGGATTGCAGTCTTGAATCACTGCACCCAGTCAGACCATGGAATTTGTAAAGTCGAATTTTTCTGAACCATCAGAGGGAAAGAGGCAGGGAATAAGAGAATGGCAAGTGGAAATGGTACCAAGAATTACTGACTTCTTGTTGCACGCAGCGATTCTGTGCTGGACACTCTCCTTTGGTTCTTACCTATGCTTACTGAAATGGTTTGGCTCTGTGTACCCACACAAATCGCATCTTGTAGCTCCTGTAATTCTCACGTTGCGGCAGGGACCCAGTGGGAGATGACTGAATCATGGGGGCAGATCTTTCCTGTTCTATTCTCCTGAGAGTGACTGAGTCTCACCAGTTCTGATGGTTTAATAATGGGAATTTCTCTGCACAAGCTCTTTCTTTGCCTGCTGTCATCGACCTAAGATGTGACTTGCTCCTCCTTGCCTTCCGCTATGATTGTGAGGCTTCCCCAGCCACCTAGAATTGTGACTCCAATTGAACCTCTTTTTTTTTTTTTCTAAATTGCCCAATCTTGGGTATGTCTTTATCAGCAGCATGAAAATGGGCTATTACACTTACCTAACCTACAAAACAGCCTAATAACTAGTTGCTTTTGGCATTTTTCAGGTGAGGAAACTGAGGCACAGAGAGGTTAAATAATTTTCCCAAGATCACTTGTACAGAAAATAGACACATTGTTTAAACTCTCTCAGCCTTAGTTCCTTGTGTATAGCATGTAAATGTAATAGTATCTACTTTCTAGAGTTGTGTGAGGCCTATGTAAGTTTATACATATGTGTTAGAACAGCGCCTGGCATGTTGTGAGTGCTCAGTAATTCTAAGCAATTAATATTTTGCTTCAAATATTTCGAGTAAAGTGCTCTCTTTTTTAAAGATGGCAGTTAAGGACCATGAAGCCCAGAGTTCAGAAAGGGCTCTTTATTACCATGTACTGGGAGCCTGCCTGGCAATGAGGTCCATTGAGAAGAAAGCAGAGCTGAGAGTTTGAGGAAGACAACATCCACGTAACATTATTTGGGCCCTCAAATCTTTCTGTTCCCAAAGCTAGACGCAACCTCAGATGTCCTAGTTATCTGAGCTAATATAAATTCTCTGTTTTTAAACAAGCTTGAATTGGGTACCTGTGACTTTTGCCTAGAAGAACCTTAAGAGAGTGCCAGGCAGATGCTTCTAGAAAACAATATGCATTTCCAGGACTTTGCTTTAGCCTTGTGTCAAGGCAGCTAATGAAGCTGGTTTTCAATTGTGCTCAGAGTTCCCCAATAGAAGAAAGTAATTTGGTTGCCTTGAGTGTTCAGTGGGAAGTCAAGCTACTTATAAGTTATTTGAACTTTTTTTTTCTTGACTGTGGATGGAGGGTAGCATGGTATCAATTGAAAGGAATTTTGGATTATTAGAGCTTCTTTGACACATAGGTTTCACACTTTGGCAGGCTTATAAGATCCTGTTGTCTAACGTCCTCACTTTACAGATGAGTAAATGGCAGCCTGGAAAGATTAAGTAACTTGGACAAGCTGATGAATCTACTTACGAGAATAAGCAGGTTCTAAACCTTTCTGTCATTTGAATTCTCTCTGATTTGGGATTTTTTCAGTCAAATAAGCTGCACATAAGATTTTTTTGTACATAGACACGCAGAATTAGAGTCAGCAGCTCATATCAGCTCCCTGACTCCTCACCTAGCTTGGTGTTCCTCTCATTGTCTCATGCTTCTTCCTGTCACACTAAACACTTTTCTTGTGGCCACCATATTAATACACTAGTTCCCACTCCCCTATCCACAGTTTCAGTTCCCTGTGGTCAATTACAGTCTGAAAATGGGTAAGCAGAGTACAATAGGATATTTGAGAAAGAGGGGGATCACATTTGCATAACTCTTATTGCAGTATGTTATTTGTTCCGCTTTCTTATTGTTGTTCTTAATCTCTTACCGTGCTTAACTTACAAACTTTATCATAGGTATGTATACACAGGAAAAAAAGAGTCTACATATGGTTTGGTACTATCTGTAGCGTCAGGCATCCACACGGGGTCTTGGAACTTACCGCCATGGATAAGGAGAGACTACACGGTACACAGCAAGTAACAAATGTGTAGTGTAGAACTCTAGCCCTACAGAATGTCTCTAGAATGCGGTAATGCAGAAAAAGAAGTTCTGTATTTAAATAAATTTACAAGTTAATTACTGGTGGTATGTGCCTGTATTCCCAGCTAGTACAGAGGCTTAGACAGGAATACTGCTTGAGCCCAGGAGTTCAAGGTTACCATGAGCTATGATAGCACCACTGCACTCTAGCCTGGGTGACACAGCAAAACCCAGTCTCAAAATAGATAAATAAATAAAAATGCATGAGTTGGTTGGGTACAGTAATCCCAGCACTTTGGGAAGCTAAGATGTGCAGATCACTTGAGGCCAGGAATTTGAGACCAGCTTGTCCATCATGGTGACAACTCATCTCTTCTAAAAAATGTAAAAATTAGCCAGGGGTGGTGGCAGACACCTGTAATCCCAGCTACTCAGGAGGCTGAGGCAGGAGAATATCTTTTTTTTTTTTTTTTTTTTGAGACGGAGTTTCACTCATGTTACCCAGGCTAGAGTGCAATGGCGCGATCTCGGCTCACCGCAACCTCCGCCTCCTGGGTTCAGGCAATTCTCCTGCCTCAGCCTCCTGAGTAGCTGGGATTACAGGCACGCACCACCATGCCCAGCTAATTTTTTGTATTTTTAGTAGAGACGGGGTTTCACCATGTTGACCAGGATGGTCTCGATCTCTTGACCTCGTGATCCACCCGCCTCGGCCTCCCAAAGTGCTGGGATTACAGGCTTGAGCCACCGTGCCCGGCCAGGAGAATATCTTGAACCCAGGCAGTGAGCTGAGATCGTGCCACTGCATTCCAGCCTGGGCAACAGAGCAAGACTCCATCCTCAAAAAAAAAAAAAAAAAAAGTATAAGTTAAATGGATTTCTTTACTACAGTACTTCTCAGAGCCTTTGATAAACTGTTTTGCATTATAAATTCCTGGGGCTGGGTGGGGTTAGACATAGGATACAGTGTTTTCAAACTCATCTTACCATGGATCTAGTGTTCTGGGAAATGCAGCATCATTTCCCAGAGGCATGAGTTTTCACATTCTTTCCCAGAGATTAGCAATCATCTTATCCCTTGACTCAGTTCTGCCCTCCTCTTTGGTGTTCTTTCTGGATATCCTTTTAATTATTATTTATTTATTATTTAATTTTAATTTTTTGAGACAGGGTCTGGCTCTGTTGTCCAGGCTGAATGCAATGGCACAATCTCAGCTCACTGCAACTGCTGCCTCCTGGGTTCAAGCCATCCTCCCACCTCAGCATCTAGAGTAGCTGGGACTACAGGCATCCGCCATCCCCCCTGGCTAATTTTTGTATTTTTTATAGAAGATGGGGTTTTGTCATATTGCCCAGGCTGGTCTCAAACTCCTGGGTGAATTAGGCCTCCCAAAGTGCTGGGATTACAGGCATGAGCCACCGTACCTGGCCCAGATCTCCATTTTAAATTCTCACCTTCAATTCTCATACTCCCTCCTGTTTCTCCAAGTTTCTGTATTTGGCTCCTTCTCTGATGTGGTTCTTTTTCTCAGTCTCTTTGTGTGTGACCTTTATTTTCATGGTGAAGAGTTCTGGTGAGACAATGAATGAACAAAGAATGATCAGCTTGAATGCTCTCAGAAGGGCAAGATCAGCCCTGACTTGTAACAATTACCTCTGAATACTCTCACATCCCAAGGTGGGCTTGTGGGAGGGAGCAGTACATACAGATGCTTTCAACAGATTGCCCAGAAGTGCCAAGAAAGCCACTGTCCCCCTTGTTGAGTCCCACTCATCTTCCCAGACCCAAGCCCAGTGGCAGAACGTGTCCACAAAGTACCCAAACATCAGAAGCCCCTCTCCTGACTTCCAGCACCGCACAAGGAAGCCAGCGCCTGTTTAGCATTTAGCCTCTTCTCCCCTGAGAAGCTGAGAAGCTGGCCAGCTGGCCCTCTTTCTGGGATGAGATTGTGTTTTAACTAGGATCTGCCTCCCTGATTAAGATTTGCCGCAGTTGTTACCAAGTATGGTGTTGTCTTTTATTGTCCTGAAAAGTGTTCTGTGTCTTCCACATTACCCTTGTGTCCTCAAAATTTTTGCAGAAATTTTTAGTATATTTTGCACTCTGGGTACAATTTATCTTCATTTGTAGTTTCCACACTCAAAATTCCTTTATTTATTTTTTTTGAGACTAAGTCTCGCTCTGTCGCCCAGACTGGAGTGCAATGGCATGATCTCAGCTCACTGCAACCTCCACCTCCTAAGTTCCAAACGATTCTCCTGCCTCAGCGTCCCGTGTAGCTGGGATTACAGGTGTGTACCACCATGCCTGGCTAATATTTTTATAGTTTTAGTAGAGATGGGGTTTCACTATGTTGGCCAGGCTGGTCTTGAACTCCTGAACTCTCATGATCTGCTCACCTCGGCCTCCCAAAGTGCTGGGATTACAGGCATGAGGCACCGTGCCTGGCCTCTCAAAATTCCTTTATTTTCAAGGGTCTTCACAGGCTGCACGACAGCCTTGCAGGCATCATTGTGGTGCTTCCGTGCAAACAACACAGAGTCGAAACCAACATTAGTACTGAACCAATCAAATGAATGCCATAGGCTTTTTCTGTTGCTTGCCCTTTTTTAAAAACCCCAACATTTCACATTCATCCTACTACTGAGATGCATTTTATGTAAGTCTCTATGTTAGGGAGTTTCAGGAAGACTAACACAGGCCTGTGGCTTCATGATAGAGACTACATAGCCAAAGAAGCAGTTTCAAAGGCCAGGTGTGGGTTATTAACAGGTGGCGAGCTGAACAAACTTATAAATAGTCATCAGCATTCACTTCGAATTTCGGTACTCTCTACAAGGATAGATCAGAAAATAGCTTCTGAAAGGTCGACAGAAAGTGTGCTTTTAGTATCTTCCACTTCAATGGCTTTCCTGGACACATACATGCTCTTTTCACTATTTTATATTGAACCGAAACTTTATTGTCATACAGTGCGATTAGCTAAGCAGCTGATTGGTTGTTTTTCGTTTTTTAACATTTTCATGTATCTTGGGATTTGTCAGTCCTGAATGTACGCTCTAATTAACACATCAACAGAGAGCTATGGCCAGCCAACAGAATATCTCATGTCCTTCCTCACTCGGCCTTACTTTGGGAGCTCACTAAATGGTGAATTCGCTACCTACCCAGAAGCCACCCTTATAGGTATAATTGAAGGAAACTGTAGTAGAGGTGAGGCCTGATCTGATAACACCTAGGTCTCTTGCAGGGAAGAAGAAGCTAGAGAATATTACCCTTGCCATAAACCTGAGAATCATGTAACAAGGTAAGTACTACCTGGCTGGCCATTAGTTTAAATAAGTTACTTGCTTGGGCTCAGGTATCACACCAAGGTGTTAAATTTAATCTCTAAAGACTTATGTGGTTTGGACTCAGAATGTTCTCATTGAACACACTTCTTCCCTTGTCATGTTGCATCCAAGCCCTCTAACTGACCCAGATTTAAGGACTTGGCCGGCCTGGACCACCAGGTAAGCTATAGAAGAGACAGCATTTAAGCTGAGAATGGCTTCCAGCTCTACATTTAAGTTTAGGGTGTCTCCAGTTCAGATCTGTCGGCTGACTGTTGCCTGTCCAAATTTTCTGGTTTCCTGTCTCACCTGCTTCTGAGTAAAACCTAAAAACCCTGGACAGTAGAGCTTCAAACTTTCAACATGAGGATTCAGGGGTTACATCTATTTAAGACAATGCCTTGGTTCCTTTTTTCTATCATAACAGGTAAGGATAGCCCTGTGCCTTCCTGAAATCCCTAGCACACAGTAAGTGTACCATTGAGATACTTTCAGCAGAAAACCCAACTCACAACAGCTTAAATAGGCCATTTATTGTATTGTATTTTTTAAGAGATGGAGTCTCACTCTGTCACCCAGGCTGGAGTGCAGTGACAATAGCTCACTCCAGCCTCAAACTCAGGTTCAGTCTCCTGAGTAGCTGGAATTAAAGTACATGGCACTATACCCAGCTAATTTTATTATTATTAGAGACAGGATCTCAGTCTGTCACCCAGGCTGGAGGGAAGTGGCATGATCATAGCTCACTGCAGCCTTGAACTCCTGGCCTCAAGCAATCCCTGCCAACTAAGAAGGCCATTTATTATGTTATATCAGAATTCCAGAGGTAGGGTGCCTCCAAAATGGGTCACATCAGCAAGTTGACATCAGCTACCTACATTCTGTCATATCTTCCTGCTCTGACACCTCAGGGTAGTACCTCTCATAGTTTCAAGACGGCTGCCTAGCTCTAGGAGTCATACTTAGTGAAAGGACCGAAGCCATTAATCCCACCTCATTTTCAGAAATATTAACTATTTCCTAGAAGCCATTATGCCACACCGATTAGAACCAAGTCACATGATCAATCCTAATCTAGTCACCATCAAGGGGAATGGGACTACCATGGTTGAATTCGACCCACATTTCACAATCCTTCATAATCCTAGCAGCATATATACCTATACGAAGAGAGAGAGACAGTCTCACTCTCATCTAGGCTGGAGTGCAGCGGCATGATCGTAGCTCACTGCAGCCTCAACCCCTGAGCTCAAGTGATTATCACACCTCAGTCTCCTGAGTAGCTGGGACTATAGGCATATGCCACCATGCCTGGCTAATTTTCAAAACAAATTTCTGTAGAGATGGAGTCTCCTTAAGTTGCTCAGGCTGGTCTCGAACTCCTGAGCTCAAGCAATCCACCCGCTTCAGCCTCCCAAAGTGCTGGGATTACAGGCGCGAGCCACTGTGCCTGGACTAGGGCAGCATATTTGAATATCAGACTCAGTTGGGAATTTCTAAAAACACCGATGCCCAGGACTACCTCTGGACATTCTAATTTCATTGGTCTGGGAAGGAGGCCTAAACCTGGTTTTTTGTTTGTTTGTTTCTGTTTTTTTGGTTTTTTTTTTTCCCCCAAGATGGAGTCTACTCTGTTGCCCAGTCTGAAGTACAGTGGTGTGATCTCAGCTCACTGCAACCTCTGCCTCCTGGGTTCAAGTGATTCTCCTGCCTCCGCCTCCCAAGTAGGTGGGGTTACAGGTGACTGTCATCATGCCTGGGTAATTTTTTTTTTTTTTTTGGTAGATGTGGTTTCACCATGTTGGCCAGGCTGCTCTCAAACCCCTAACCTCAAGTGATCCACCTGCCTTGACCTCCCAAAGAGCTGGGATTACAGGCAAGAGCCACTGCACCCAGCCCAAACCTGGGTATTTTTTAAAGCTTCCCTTGGTGACTCTAATGTGCAGCCAGGATTGAGAACCACCAACTTAGACTAATCAGGAATCACCCCTGAGTCATGTAGGAGAGAGATAAAATTAAACCCCAGCCAGGAAGATGAGTGGAAATGTCTATTGGATATGCAACCCACAGCTGATCAAAAAATATTTCTTCAATTTCTCCAAAGAAGATGTACAAATGCCATACAAGCACATGAAAAGATGCTCAAAATCACCAATCATTAGATAAATGCAAATCAAAACCACACTGAAGCGCCGCCTCACACTCATTAGGATGGCTACTATCAAAACAGAAAATATCAAGTGTTGGCAAGAATGTGGAGTAATTGGAGCACGTAAGGATGCCACTGCTATGGAAAACAGCATAATGGTTCCTCAAAAAAAATTTTTTTTAATTCCCATATGATTCAGCTATTCCACTTCTAGGTATACGCTTTAAATAATTAAAGCAGGATCTCAAAGAAATACCTGTTCATCCATGTTCATAGCAGCCTTATTCACAATAGTTCAGAAAGCAACTTAAGTGTCCTTTGATGAAGGAATGGATAAGTAAAATGTGTGGTATGTACATAAAATGGGGTATTATTTAGCTTCAAGGGGAAGGAAATTCTGACATATCCTATACCAAGGATGAATATTGAAAACATGCAAAGTGAAACAAGCCAGTCACAAAAAGACAAATAAATACTGTATGATTCCACTTACAAGAGACACCTAAAGCCATCAAATTCATAAAGAAAGTAGAATGGTGGTCCCGAAGCCGTGGGAAGAGAGGACTGGGAAGTTATTGTTTAATAGGTATGGAGTTTCAGTGTTACAAGATCAAAGAGTTCTGTGGCTGGATTGTGATCATGATGATAGCGCAGCAAAGTGAATGCACTTCATGCCACTGAAATATACACTAAAAAATTATTGAGATGGGCAGGGCACAGTGGCTCACATGTGTAATTCCAACACTTTGGAAGGCCGAGGTGGGTGGATCATGAGGTCAGGAGTTCAAGACCAGCCTGGCCAAGATAGCAAAACCCCATTTCTACCAAAAGGACAAAAAATTTAGCTGGATGTGGTGGTGGGCACCTGTAATCCCAGCTACTTGGGAGGCTGAGGCAAGAGAATCACTTGAACCCTTGGGGGCAGAAGTTGCAGTGAGCCGAGATCACGCCACTGCACTCCAGCCTGGGTGACAGAGTGAGACTCCATCTCAAAAAAATAAATAAATAAAAAGATTTAGGGGATACATTTTGCTATGTGGATTTTACCACAATTTTAAAGGTAATGTTTGTTGAATAGATACAGAGCTA